AACACATTAAAACAGAACTGTTGTGGAACTCAAAATGTCAACTGTACTATTATTAGTCACATCAGATAATTAGTAACATCAACTCTAAAACAAGAAACCAAGGCACAACACCACTTAATCCTGTTAAAACAAAACTCACAACTTGGGTTAATTTCTATGAAGAACACTTCTGATTCTTTTGATCTAAGGACTCTTACGTAAGAACTGAAGGAATATGAATAACTTACAGGGTAATCCAGGAATGGACGCATAATTTGAGGTAGCCAACAACCTGGTTTTATACATCCGAAGAACTTCTTGGTAACCAGACCAGGCCTCTAATTGTGACGGGCGTTTATTTGTCAAATTGTGTAGCCATACAAGGCTAGTAAAAGGGACTAGGTGTTTAATTGAAGTTTTCCGATAGTTTATGACTAACCTTTATACAACTGTACTACAACAGCATAATGGAAGTCCTGAAACTCAGATATGGTGTTAGGTTTTGGCCACCCCAAGATTTTCAGTGGTCATATTGGGCCAAGCAAAATTTCTGGGGGCCACTGGGTTGAATAAGTGACTGAAGAAACAAATAAATGACTAAAAGTCTTCTTTACAATATCTTCTTAGGACTACACTGCGACCATCTTCCTCCGTCAGCGCTGGCGTGACTCCAGGCTGGTGTTCCCTGGAAATGAGAGCGTCAGCGTGGACGGACGCCTCGTGTCACTGCTGTGGATCCCTGACACCTTCATCCCCGACTCCAAACGTTCCTTCCTGCATGACGTCACGGTGGAAAACCGCCTCATACGCATCTTCAGCAATGGAACAGTTCTCTATGCCCTACGGTACAGGTTTATGTTTATTGATTCAACAGTCGCTGACATTTGATCATTTGATACTCCTGCCCGTGAGCTTTTCAGATTCTGCTGAGCTGGAAGAGGTTAAAATGAAAGGGAATGTAGGGAGATGAAAAGAGAAAGACGAGGAAGACAAAATCTACTGAGATTTTTTTCATGCTGTTTTCATGATTGTCGTGGTAATCAACCGTGAATTGGCCTTTGGTTAGGCTAAAAAAAGACAGGAAGAAAAAAGAGCACTTATGTATCATCGCTCAGTCATATAACTCAAGGGAATGCCACTGAAATTACAGTTTTTTTGTACCCTTCAAACAGTTGAGATTGTGGTGGGGAGAATTCGTTGCCTGTGGCCACAGTCAAAATTTGTTCTGATGTCTAATCTGTCATGTCACACTGATATAAAACTTTATTATGACTGGAAAGCTTTACTGAGGACAGAAAGGGCAGTCTTGTGCAAGATGTTCCTTATTCTTCGTGATTAGAGGGAAAACATTTTATATAAATAGTTATGTTGTACAGATCCATGTTTGACAGTTGTTTTTTAAAAATATTATTGGCATATTTTGCTTTGTATAGAAATAGAACATTGATGTTCTTCAGTAAGCAATACATCAGCTAAATAATTTTGATTCTAGTGCTCAGAAACTGTCAGCAAATTCCAAGTCTTATACATAATTAATGCATCAGATCCAGAAATGTCTGACACTTCGGATATGAGTCTTTGTTCTTTCCGTTGTTGCTCAGGGGGGAAAGTTCTTTGTGTTCTCTGGTTATTAACTGCCCTGTCCGACATCAAAGGAGTAACAATGTGTCGGAGAGAGCTGTTCTAACGATCTTGTTATGAATGCACAACAGCATCACGGCTACCATCGCCTGCAACATGGACCTGACCAAGTATCCCATGGACAGACAGGAGTGCACCCTGCAGCTGGAGAGCTGTGAGTACCTGTGTGAACCCTCAACTCCATCAAGTGTGTAGATGGACATACATCACCATCATCTCATCATCACCATCACCATTTTCATCATCAGTGTAGTGAGTATCAAACTGACACTATTATTTTAAGCAGATCATTCATTCAACCTTAACTATAAACCGTTGTGTGTGTGTGTGTGTGTGTCAGGGGGCTACAACCTGCAGGATGTGGTGTTCTATTGGACCAGAGGGAATGACTCAGTGAAGGGTCTTGACATACTGCGGCTGGCTCAGTACAGCGTAGAGAGCTACTATACATCAGTGTCAGAGGCTGTGTATGAGACAGGTAGGACACTACATCTCCCACAGTCCCCCTCACATGTGGAGTTATATGTGAGAGCACAAATGTAATAAAGCTGTGTCTGTTTGTGTCTCCTCATACAGGACAATACCCCAAGCTGGTGCTGCATTTTGCATTGCGTAGAAACGTGCTGTTCTTCATCTTGGAGACGTACGTTCCCTCCATTCTGCTGGTGGTTCTCTCCTGGGTCTCTTTCTGGATCAGCCAGTCCTCCGTCCCAGCCAGGACCTGTATCGGTCAGTACCAGATCTCTTACTGCATTTTATCAGAGGTGAAAGTGTAATGATGATGGTGTATTCCACATTATTAATTCATTGTAGGATTTTATTTACAACCTTTTCACATCCCACCTTACAGACTCAATACGGTCAGAAAGATCAAATGTATTTGAGTGCCATTCATTTAAACATCAGCACATGAGAGGGAGAGCTGTTGTAATGAATATCAACACTGTTGTAATGAATATCAACACAGCTATGATTCTGCAGCCCACACACAACACCAGAAAATTTTGATTTTTTTTTTTTTTTTTGGGGGGGGGGGGGGGGGGGGGGGGGGGGGTGTTCCCCCCTGTGTCCTCCTACACATATGCCTGGAGATTTGCAGTGAAGTATTCAGGCTCCTTTCCCACCATTTGTTCTCCTTTGATGATAATTTATAATTAAACTCAAATTTTATTTGTGGAAAATGTTCATCGTTGTGGTGCAAAGTTTGTCACAACAACCATTAATGTGGAATGATTACCAGTGTACCTGTAAATAGGAGTGATACATGTATAGTTAAAAGTCCCAGTGATGTATAAATCGGTGGCATGCCAACCAATATCTTTGGCAACTTTTACAGATGTACAGTCGATAGTGTCCTCACCAGGTCAATCACAGTCCAATATGGAAACTGTACTGCTCAGGACAGGAAGTCCCTCCAGCGCGTGATAAAAACTGCACAACTCATTTTAGGAGCAGCCTTCCCTTCCAATCAGGACATTTACAACAGCAGGGTCAACATTATCAAAGACAGTACACACCCCAACTACAGTCTGAACACTTCTGCCATCAGGCAGACACTACAGGAGTGTCAGCCCCCACCCGACTGCTTTGACTTAAACTTACTTCTTGCTACATTTCCATGAGGCATGGTGCACTTTACTTTGATTGCGTTTTAATTCTTAGGTAATTTAATTCAAATTTTATTATTGTTCTGTGTGAAGGGAGACTGGCTATTAAGAATTTCATTGTATGGTGTAAATCAGTCTTGAATCTTATAACTCTTGAATATAAATAAATGTAATCCTGTATGTTTTAGCACAAAACTGATACACTGTCTACACTGGGGAAAAAAAATCAAATTTAGCATTTTTACTGTGGTTAGAGGGCATGTAAAACACATTTTGTGTTTACAAGGCGTTTAAACTGATGTTAGTTGATACCGCATGTTACTCAATAAATCTAAATTATTTATTAACTGTAAATTATGCAGCAGAGTGCACCAAGTTCAGCCATGCATTATAACAATCATGCATTAATGAGAATAAGCATCGATACATCATCCTCACTACAGCCTCAGTTCAACACATGATTTGACCTTTAGCCTATATGTTTTCTGACACCTACCCAATTAAATCAAAGAGCAACATCAAAGGAAAAAAGCCAATGAGGGGGAATCTGATGGCTGAGATGATGAAGAATTGGACGAACACATTGCCAAACTTGAATTGATTACCAAAATATGGATTAGAGGTTCAGTAGCTATTTTGCAAACAGCAACACCGTGATGTGTTTTCCAGGGGTGACAACAGTCCTGACGATGACCACACTGATGATGGGCGCCCGCACCTCCCTGCCCAATGCCAACTGCTTCATCAAGGCCATAGATGTTTACCTGGGGATTTGCTTCACCTTCATCTTCGGTGCACTGCTGGAGTACGCCTGTGCCCACTTCTACACCATGCAGCACCAGACCATAGAGGACTTACACAGGGTGAGGAGTATTTTTTACATTTAATATGAGGTGATATTTTGCTTTAACATGTTAGATAATTAGAATATTGGAATTGTGTTGTCACCTATCAGGAGCTTCTGAAGGAGTTCAATGAATCCAATGGAAACGGCTCCATTCCCATCGTCAGCTCCACCCAACCGAACCAGTCTGTGGATATCGGCTCCACTGCAGAGGAGACCATGGAGCAGTCAGCGGACAGTGACACAAAGAACAATGCTGGATCAAAAGAGAAGGCAGTGTCAAAGCAGGGCTGCGGCCTGTCTTCAGTGAAGGACGCATCACGTAGGGCAGCATCCGTCTTCATTGTGGAAAATCCGCACAACATCGATCGCCATGCTCGCACTGTTTTCCCCACGGCGTTCCTCTTTGTCAATATCCTCTACTGGCTTTACTATCTCTTTTTCTGAGCGCTGCTTCCAAGCTGCTGCATAGTTCATTTCACCATCCTGAAGCTGCTCTACCTCCTCATTTGAGACCCAAATACCAGTTGCCACTGCCTGGATCTAAACAAGCTTTTTTTCTATCACATATACGAATCCTTTATACCCCACAGACAGGCTGCAAAGTGATGACAAGCAGCTGACATATAAACACGTAGAGGGGAAGATAGAAAGCCTGTCTGTTTACTGACGATTCAATAGAACAAATGAGGATGAGTTTTAACAATAGACTGCCTGAACTGCATCACACTATAGTGTTGCATCCAACTGCCTTCATTAGGTGACTGATGTAGATGTTTTCTTTTTTTGTTTTGGCTTTCATACATCGTTTGTGTGAGACCATATATTGTATACCTCACAGCAAATCATGTAAAATTAAAATAATAAATCAGTGACTGAGAATGCATTTTTTTTTAGCATTTGTACTGTAACAAATGATTAAAGGTCACATGTTTGAGAATAAGACACATTTATTATTCCCTTATCCAGGTAGGAGAACAGTAAAGTGCAAAAGTAAACCACAGGTTCAGCAGAGAAGTTGTTAAAATTACGTATAATGGAGATTTTTTTTTTCCACACTTAGGGAAAAGATTGGTTTGAATCTGTGAATAGCACCACTTTGTTAGTCACTCAGTTATCTCTTGCAGGAGTACTTAACTGTGCTGTGTGCCAAAGAGGGTCAAGTGGATGTGGGACTATTCAGTACGGCACAGCTTTAACCCGAGTGGAGAGGCTAATAAGTGCAGTCAAAAGTATAATAACACACTCAGCCCTCCATGGCACCGACGTGAATACCTCTGATAGGTATGTCTTATGATGACGATGAGAAATGAAACCTTGACAGTATAAAAGCATTAAACATACAAACAGTAGTCATGGCTCACTCTGTACAGGCAGATAAGAAACATTATATTATATAAAAGGCACATTGTGGCTTAAACTGCCTCCATCCTCAAACACATCACGTCTCACATGACACCTTTACATTAAACATTGTATGCAACAGCAGGAGAGGACACAGCCCTGTGTTGCCTTCCCATTACAACGCTTCACACTAACTGTGCTTTTCAATACACTTTTCTTGTGTCTTTCTTACTAAACTCTCTTCTCTCCTTCCTGTTTGCCACGTTTCAATCTGTGTCACCAAAGACAAGGAAAATACTTGGATACAGACAGTGAGCACTTCTTGGATTCCTCACATGTGGAGAAGTTGTTTTAGGAAGACAGAAGAGTAAATATTCAGTGAGATGTACCTCCACCTGGTGGCTGATTTCTTTCATTACAGTTCGGTAAAGTCTGTGCTTTGGGATCTAGATGGATCTTTAGCAGGATTTAATGTCACAGTTGTCAGATCCTGACATCCGTTAATTTGTTTTCTTGTCCTCTTCGTGACACCGCTCTTAGGTTGCTTTCTTTGACTCCCATTCCTGTAAAGACAGAAAATATGTAAGTGATTTAGTAACAATGTTAAAATAAGGTAATTATTGAAGAACAGGACTTTGAAGTGATTGCAGGTGAAACGCGCAGGTGACAATAAGTCAAACAAAAAATAAATAGCACCATTTTCAGTTATGCTCCTGAACTGTGCATACCAATAAGCAAAAACAAACACATTTTTTTTTTTAGATTTGTAACCCTGAAATCAATAATTCACCCACAAAATGACCATTGGTTTGTCAATTACTCACCCAGAGTTACATTGAATGAAGAAAATTGTTTTTCTCACATGTCTCTGATGAATGGAAAATCCAAAAAAGGTGATCATTCTTCATGAATTAACGTAATAAGAGTGCCAATTAACAACAGTATAACTGTAACAACATATCCCTTTACAAACTCTCACACAACTTGTGCAGTATAATCTGAATCTGCAGCATGTGCTGGATGCCACAGAATAACATCCCGCAACAAGCACATCAAACCAAAGCTGGAGCACTTTCAAAGTTTTAAGGAGAAATTTGACCTGGTGAATCACCTGTGAAGAAATGCATTTTCACTAAAACATTATGATTTAAAAACATATCAGTACCAACAGTCTCACATAGGGACGTATAGCGTGCCTGGGCAAATGTGTGTTTTAACTCTGCTCATGGCTTGTTTCTCGTAGGCGCAAGCATTTTATATTGTAAAATTTAAGTGAAAAATGCATATGTTTGAGCACTTACTGAGCATACCACTGGATAAATAAGACTGAGTTGTGTGTGAGTTTGCAAACTGATGTCTTAATATAGTTTTGCTGTCTTTAAATGCAGAGCCTGATTATTTTAATTCATGAAGAATGTTTGCCTTTGTTGGATTTTGTTTACCATGGAGACATGTAAGAAAAACCTTTTTCCCCCCACAATTTCAATGTAACACACCGTCAGTAATTTATAGAAAAAGATGATTTGAGGGTGACATATTTTAAAGACATGTCTTCACAAATATATCTTTCATTATTGGACCAATTCTTTTGTAAACAGTGCTTCATTTAGTTTTTTTATGAGTAGATTTTTAAATGCAATTTAATTGGCTAATTAATTTAGCTACTTCAGACAACTATTCCTGAAGTGTTGATAAATGTCTTGGTGATCCATAGTGGCGTACCACACCGGCTTCTTTTACATCTGTGCACCCAAGTGGTGCATAAACACAGTTCTGTGATAACGACAACAATGCCAACCCATGTAGTAGCACTACGCATATATTAAATTCATTAATAGTCCCGATGGTGTCGTTTAGGTCGTAAATATTGTGAAAGCAGAAGTAGCTGAGCAAAGCGATATCAAACATCCACCTGTAGTGACAGAATCCTATTTGATCATAATCACTCAAAACACTCTCACACACACCAGACACTGAATTATAAATGTCTGTCAGAGACTGTGCGAACACACGCAGACTGTCTCTCTATTTATGTGTGAACTGTGAAAACCCATTAGATGATGACACATGCTGCTGTGATCCTATCAGCCCCCTGTGAAGCCTGAGAGAGAAATGTGTCCATGATGACAGGCTGAGGAACAGTTCAGGAAGTGACTGTGACAGTTACTGAACAGTTACCTTTGCCTTCTGCATGACAGTTCCCGTAGCAGCGTAAACAGACGGAGGTCTCCGACGCATCTCTAAGGCACAGTTTACTGGTAAAGAATCACTGTAGATATTCTGTGTCTTTTTGCTGGAGGCCTACACAGACAGGGAAAAAAGCAAATAAGCAAATAAACCATGTGTACGCAGGCAGGTAAACATGTATTTGTGTGTCTTTCCCACATAAAGCAACAAATATACCTTAACTGGGGGTTTAGCCTCAACAGGTGCTCCCAAGGCTCCACCAGCCAGGCTCTTCTTGAGGTTTTCTTGGACCTGAGACAGCCGGAGCTCCAGGTCCACCCTCTCTGCCTCTTTAGCTCGACAGGTGTCTTCCAGCTTCGACACACGGTTGTTGAGGGAGGTCTGTCTTCTCTCTGCTCCACAGAGACACAGCAACACATACAACACAATGAGACAAACAAAGATTTGAAAAGTAGTAGCGATATATTCATGTTCTTTTAGATGGTGATAAGACTCTCAAAATAAGATGCAGTTACAGAAGTACTGTACTTACACTAAGTACAGTTTTGGAGTACTTATACTTGACTACTTCAGAGGCAACTGTTGTGCTTTTTACTCTCCTAAAGCTATTTCGCAGATTAAAATTCTACATGGAAAACCTATGATACGTTTTTAAATTGTGATACATTTTTATAGATTAAACCAGGGCTGCACGATGAGAAAAATATGCCACATGCAATAATGTTGTTAAATATCACGGAAATAATATAACCAATATTTCTCCTGATTTCAATATACTGCTAAAATACAACAAATTGCTTGCTACATTAAAAAATAAAGGAAATTACTTTCAACATTCTTTTATTGAACATTGGACTGAATACAAAAGGCACCAATACAAAAAAATTGTTAGATTTCAAAGCACGTTTTTTTTTTTAATGATCTTTCAACCGTGTCAAAAAAGTCTTTTACGATGCATTTATGGCACAAGATAAAATTGCAATAATCCAATCAAATAATATAGCACATGCTAATATAACAGTGGCTGAAGCCGTAGTAATGCCTTATAGTACTTTAGAGTACTTTTACTTGTGATTCATTTTGCTGCTACTACCTTTGTGCTTTTACTTGAAATGGAGTGCAACAATCTGATATGCTACTTTTACTTCTGATCTCAAATCTGAATACTTCTTCCAATGCTGCAAGCAGCATACTGTGCAAAAATACAGGAAATTAATTTGATTTAATAATAAAAGCAATTAGAGTCCGTATTTATCCCTGTAGGGCAACTGTCTTCTCACATGACCCTCTAATAATGGGGGTCAGAGTGCAGGGTCAGATACAGAGCAGGGATATAGGATGTGCACTTGATATTCAAGCGTCCTAGTTAATTTGCAGACTCACAAACTATGACTTACAAACTGCTTCTTTTAGGATGACCTGGTGTCCCTATGTGTGTCTCCATCCCTCAAAGTAAATACAGTAGATGTACAATATGTTCTAGCTATGCTGTTCATTGTGAGAATACAGTGATCAGTTTCAGTTTCTGGATACTGAAGAGCTGCAGAGTTAAATTGGAGCTAAACTCAGAAATAACTGAGAATTTGTATAACATCTGTTCTCTGCTTTGACTTTGTATCTCCTTACCAGAGGCTGTTTTCAGCTCTTCCTTTAACTCCCTCTTCTCCTTTCGGAGGGTCACAAGTGCATTTCGTATCCCATCCCTCTCTCTTTCCAGATCCTCTTTCTCTTTCAGGTAACGCTTGGCATCCTCCTCAGCTCGTGTTTTCCCATACTTCCCATATTGGTTGGCATCTGGGTGGAGATGTTGGAAGAGAGCAAAGGTGAGGGGTAAAATGCACAGAGGTTATGGGAAGGAGAGAAACATCTCACAGCAATCTTTCTGCCTCTCCTTATTAATATCATGTTCCTGACATGAGGAGTATGATGTCACCTCGACAAGTCAAAGTAAAGCACAGCACATAAATCTGACCCTTTTCATAATTCAGACAAAGAATTTTTGGAGAGAACAATGATATGATGAATGAATAAAAGATAAACACGCACACACTCCTGCAGAGCGAGAGGTCAGGAGGCAAGACAGCGGATCTAATGTGAGTGTCCAATAAATCTCAGGTTACATCCTGAAGCTCTCAGCCATGGCGAGCGCCGGCTCTTTGATGTGTCAGAACGCCACAGTGACGGCCTGTGAAACAGCACTGAGGAGAACGCTGAGACAGTTGACCACGCCGATATCACTTTCCTAAACTCGGAGTGCTCATCTCATTTATTTGTGTGAGAGATTTAGAGGCCAACTGACACAACAGAGCAAATGGGAGAGGCGAGAGAGGAGGGAAGAGATTATGGATGGAAAGTGAGAAGATGATCAAGAGGAGAGAGGAAATAGGGGAATATTGAGCCGGATAAAAGCTCACATTTTATGGCTGACTGTGAACTTATACACCACTGAAAGAACTGTATGAAGAGTGTAAGCTACAGCAATACTAGACCTCTGCAATCTCACTCCTGTGTGATACACAACAACATTAAGGTGCCATCTGTATCATTCTTGTTTCCCTTGAAGGGCAGCGGGCTGCTTCCCTTGTTCTTTTTTATTTATTTCTAGAGAGACAGATGGAAAGCAGAGAGGGGTGTGAAGCTAAAAAAGTTACAGGGCAGAAGCTTCTAAAAATATTTGGTGCTAATATACATATACATCTCAGCTGTTTGGTTGGTTGAGAATGGTATTATGAATAGTTTTGATAAAACTTTACAATGTGTAGCTCTGTTTGTCAATCTGTTGTAATGCCTTTGATACAGCACAAATCTCTGAAGTTTCTTGCAGATACTGGCTCAGTCATAAATGACTTATATAACAAATGTAAGGGGTTCCACAAGGATCCATTCTAGGTCCTCTTCCCCTCACAACAGACAGTATATCAATAATCTGGCCTTAGTGTTAATAATTGCCAGAGATTTGGGTGTGTTATGTTTGTATGTTAGAGCCTCCAGATTTCTGTAATTTTCCAACTTGTTGCCTCAAGTGACATCACTTTTAGAATCAAGGGTGCCTTCTGTTGTTTGCAAAACAACAGAAGGCAAGGGGGCGGTTAATAAACAAACATGAATTATATTTATCAGTATATATATTAAATGAATTGCTTGTTTTTAACCTTCAATGTTTTCTGTTCTCACTTATTTTTTCTAAGAGGGAAATCCAGTCGCAGCAGCCTTGCAAAGGTCAGGGGTACCTGGGAGGGTTTCAAGAACTTCAGGACATTTGGGGATCCTCCCCCTGGACTTGTTTTTTATCAAAGAAGCACTACTTTGATGCTTGTTTTGCACTCTGGTACCTTACTTATATTCTAAATTTAAAAAAAAACCATCAATTTATTTTCACAGTGAATAAGAAAAGGGTCGGCAGGCCACCTGGCAACCTATCACAAGCCAGATTTGGCCCATAGGCTGTAAAGTGGAGTATCACTACCCTAAAATAAAGACCGCTAGCCTTGGGAACTCAGCTTTTAGTTTCGTCTTTACAAATGGAATTACCTTTAACGGTAATATATTTCTTACAGTTTGTTTCTGTCAGCTGAATGTGAATGTTTCAGTTTATATCGCCGATATACCTATACTACTATACCGACAGTTTCTATGAAACTATCGGTATAGTTTATGAGAATAAGGTTAGCATCACTGGAGGTGCAGCAATGTCATTTTGGAAAACCAACTTCACCACTTACTTGAGCCTGTTCGTTTGAGGGAGACTAAAGGCTTGGTTCTGTCAGAATCGCTGCTGGAGAAACTTGAGCGCCGCTTCCCCTGATTCCCAGACTGCTGCCTGCGGTTCTCCCCTGACTGGGTGGAGTAGAGAGAGGGTGGGAGGACATGACAGATGTGGAAGGATGCACAAAGAAGGATGAGAACAGAGGGAAAAAAGAAGGCAAAGTCTGTATATTAGGCTGAGCAATAAACTACACTTCAAAATAAGTTTGAGAACACAGAGGTATTTTGTGTGTATGTTTGTGTCTGTAGGTGGTGAGAGGCATGTGTTTAAGTGCCTGTCGGTGGGGTTAAGAAAGGAGTTTACAGGCTGTAAAACTACCATGACCTCTTGCCTTCCTGTCACCAGTTTGATTGCTTTTTATTTTTTTGGTCTTTTTTTCCACTCTCACGCCCACACACTGTTTTTTCTCTGGCCTACAAAAAGCCGTCATTGATAGACGTGTAACAGAGCACTGTCTGTCTGCTCGGGTGACTGATATGGAGTGTCATATTCAGACAGAGACAGTCAGAGACAACAGCTGCACACACACAGACATGCAGCTTCTAATCCTGTCACATCAAAGTAAAGCATTACACATAAGATTTAACTGAACTTGGAAAAAGTGTGTCAGCATCTGAGCATGTGTGTCTCACCTGCATGTCCTCATTAGGGACCTCATCATATGTTCTGGAGTCTGTGGAGGTGCTGCTGGAGGATGTGACCCACCTAGGCTCAAAGGAAAAAAAGAAATGAAATCTGCATGAGATCTAAACATCACTGCATGGGTCAGTGGCCTTGCTTTGACCTCAGTCCAAATATTCCAACTCCTCCCTCTCCGACTCACTCACAGGAAGGAATGTCGCGCAGCGTCGCGGATGTTAGCGATGGTGTCTACGTCAACGTAGTCGTAATGCAGTGACTCTGGATCTGTTGCGGAGCCTGTCTCTGCCAAGAGGACGCCAAGCCATCGTCCAAGGTCCTCAGAACTGTTAGCCTAAAATTGACACAGGGCAAATTAACTTTGAATTATGAAGTGACAAAACATTTAAGTTACAAGCTGTAAAACCTAAAAAATGAGTTCAAGGACACAAATGCTGCGTAGAGCTGAGGAGAACAGCAGAGCATGTTAGTCTCTCTGGGTTTGTCACTAAGAGTGACCCCCTTGAAAATACACATTCATTTGTTAATATAGATATTGATTAGTGCAACCTTAACATAACTGAAATAATGCTCAGTATTTTACCTCCAGAGCAGCCACCTCTGTGCTGTTCCGCAGAATTCGGAAGGCAAAAGGATGTTTGGGTCCCAGCCCCGGGACCACCTCGCAACCATGGAGAGGAAGTGAAGGCAGGGAGGTCCGGGGATCTCCTTTGTCATGGTAGAAGTGCAGGGAGCCTCTACACACACAACACCACTGTTCCCGCCACACCTGGTTCACCAGCACCGACACATAGCCTGCATGGTGAGGAGGGAAAGAAACATGACATGTCTACAAACCTGGAGAGATAACGAGTGACAGTAAAGTAAATGTGAATGTGAATTGAGAAGAATCTTGCGATATGATTCATACCACGATATAGGGGTTATGATTCAATAAATTGCGATTTTTAAAACTGTAACCTTAAAAAGAACAGTCCCTGTAACAAGCTAGCGATATGTTGGAATTAAAGATTCAAATAGCTGAAGACTGATTTCTGCACTGCTATCTAGAAGTCGGGTTTAAACACAACACAAAATAAACCACCGCCACAAATCTCAGCATGTAAACTATTAATTAAATATCCATAGTGCTTTTGTTAATTGACACAGTATCACAATACACCACGTTCCTGTATAAATATCTTCTAACAGCCCTACAGTGATGTAGGGTCTGACCTTGTCGAGGGTCGCTGTAGGATGTCCGTGGATCTCCTGGCCGAGGGGGCTTCTTCTTAGAGAAGCTGATGATTCGTGTGATCTTGCGGCCCGCAGCTAAAGCTCCCCGTTTCACCTTACCTGCGTAAGAAAAGGTTGCATATTTTCCAGATTTATTTTGGGAAGGGGAAACTGTAATTCGCCTAAGATTAACACATTTCACTACACTATGGACTACGAAAATTAAATAACATGTTGACAGCTGGGCAAACTCCATGTGCTGATGAAGACCATGAGAAAGATGTGGTTTAATAAAGCTAGTAAGAGGACCTTGAATTAAAGGAGCTGTATACAACATTCAGAGCATATCTGTGATTCAGACTCTGAGCAGGATTGTCTGTACACGGCTTTCAGCATGGAGGTGGCTGAGCCGGTGGCTTGGCTAACAGTGCTAACAGCGTGAATAGTGCTTACAATGGCAACAGTGCTGACAGTGCTAACCATGGGGAATAGGAGGGTGGATGCACAGTGCAGAGTGATGGCAATTAGCTAGCCAGTGGGACACACTTGCACTAACATGCATGCCCAGACAGACTGTCTAACACAACAAAGAACAGAGAAGCTTGGATTACAACACAAACAGAAAGACTTCACTCTCTGCGTGGGATGCCATTACTCCACTCTGTCTTTACACAGTTAAAAGATGCTTGCTGCTTTTGTAATGCTCTGAATGTCATATACAGAACCTTTAATATTTTTTGTCAGACTGCTGTATTGATTTGAGGCTGTGTGTGTCTCTGTCTCACCATTTTCTCTGCAGTTCTCTCCAGTTGACACACCCACACTGTCTGAGTCTGATGTGTTCCTCTCTGCAGATAACCTCTGAGGGAGAAACACACAAACACAAGTTAAGACTTTTCAACAGCAACAGAGTCCAAGCCCTACACAGGATCTGTCTGTCTGCCAGTGTCAAACTGGAGCTTAGCCTTCTACACTTGTCTTAATTAAGAGCTGGATAACTATACTTGAGATAGTTCTATTACAAGCTTACATGTGTCTGCCTCTGAATTCTTTTACACATAATGAGACAAACACTTATTTTCTGCCCTTTTCTCCTACCAGCGAATAGCGGCTCCTCTCTCTTCACCCTATGTATTTATTTATGACAGGGCAGTTTTATGTTCTGACAGGTTTGTGAGCTCTAAAGAGGATGTGTCTGCTCCAGCACTGACTCACCACCACTATCATTGCTGTCTTAACATCCAATTACGCTACATATCCTCTTTGTTTTGCAAGTCAAATAAAGGTATCACTGTGTATTGTATCTAGCCAAACAATTATTTAGGAAAATTGATGGTGACAACACAATTACTGCTTGCCATCAACTTTTCCTCACCTTAGCTGTACAGACGATTTATGGATTAGAGGTAAAAATGAGAGGGACGTGCAGACACAAACATCCTCTCTCCTGTACTTACCTTGTCAAGTTCAGTTTTTCTTGGAATGATGGGAGACGCAGATTCCTCAGGCCCTACGCTCTGACCACTCACCTCTCTGACAACCTGCGGGAATATTTTACATGTGTCACTCTAAGCTGTACACTTCCTTCTGAGGTTTGTTTTTCCACACCGTCAAATCTGCTTGCAGTGACTGGCGACAAGATTGATGGCTGTGTTAACTGTCTGTATGCCTGCAAGCATACATACACTTTCCAGTTGTAGCTTACCCTGAGCCATCTGTGGGCCTGCTCCTTGCTTTGTACCGCCAACACCAGTGCATCTCCGTTGGGTAAGGTGAACCGGAGTTCATGGTGCTTCCTCTTGCTGTCTTTGGGTGCATAGACCACAGTGCACTGGGGCAGCAGCAGGTCCACATAGGGGCATGTGTCCTTAGAACTCTTGTAGCACTGCAGAAAGGAGAACACATAGGATACTGTAAACTGGTGAAGAAGGGAAGAATTGAAAAGGCTGTGTATGTATCCGGAGTGTATGCTTGCATGCTTACTGAACATCTCCTTACCTGTAGTCTGTTCTCTCGTATGACAGTAAGCTGTTTTGCCCATTGGCCGAAACGTTTCTTGCGCAGCAGGAAGGCGCAAATGCGACAGTCCCTGGCTGGAGGCATGGAGCTCTCGTCTGAGGGCCACTGATGAGTGAGTTGGACACCAGGGCTCCTCTCTTCCTCATCCTCCTCGTATGACTCATAGGAACTGCTCAGGGCATCAGAATCATTGTCTGAGAGGGCGACAACAGAGAAGATAAAGCTTTATTTCTTATAACAAGGCTTTTTATCACGTAAATTGTTCATTGGGGAGGGGGCTCTGTTTTCAACTCACATGAGTTTTTGCGGTGTGTGTTTATGCAGGTAGTGGGGTAGTTGTTTTCTGCGTCTTCATACCCATCCTCTATAGAATTGGGAGGGCTAGACCTGACTGAAAATGGAGGACATGAAAAAAATTCCTAATTACTCCTTATGTTCCATCATGTACTTTAATGCGACTTGTTCTTTGTAATTATTGGCTTCGAGGTTTTTACAGCAAAATGACACTCAGGGCAGTGAGTTCAGCAGAGGCGGGAAGATGCTGACCTCGTGTGATGATGTACTCGGGCAACTTGCCAGGACTGAGGGGCACAGCCTCCTCATAATACTCCTCGGGAGGAGGCGTTGTGGGCAGAGGGGGAGGAGAGTCAGCTGAGTGCGGGGCTGGGGAGTCTGCACAGTTCTGCTAGGAGGAAACACACAAACACAACTCTCGAATTTCCCTCATAAATACGAAGGATTTTTTTTTTCACAGCCTAAGAACTACATCATCAAAGAGACACAGAGTAAAACCCTCAAAATGATATCCATAAATTAGACACATGGGTTCTGGGCGGGTCCCTAAATCTTTACTCTTCCAACAGCTTGCAGGGTGAGGAACATATGTGCATGGGAAACCCCCATAACATGGAATACAATCTCTGTTTTTCTTTGCTTTTCTCTACAAGTCATCTATAGGTGTTATAGTCCTTTGAGAAGTTTGATTTGGATGGTGAGTGCTGAGGGATACTATATATAGCCCACTTGCCTGTTTTAAAGTGTCAGTTTGTGTGTTCTTTTCTTCTTTTAGATCATCTGTGACATCCTTAAGGTCTCCAAGCTGGCAGTCTATAAAACACAGCAACATACATTGAAACCCACACTTATATATATTAAGGTAACATGATATTTACAGCTCATTAATATAGATAGGTGTACAATTAACAGCACTCAAACTCACCAAATGTGTCAAAGAGGGACTCTACGAAGCTGGTGCCATTTCTGTAAACTGCTGAGTTCATATAGATGTAGTCTGTTCCTGAAACTGGAGGCAAGAACAGACACATTTTATCCTTTAAAATGTTGTGTGTATTGCACGTTTTTATTATGTGTGTCACAGACAAAAAAAGAGAACAGAAAAAAAGTTGCGGTCCTAACACCAAACAACTTTTCAAGCGATTTCACTGTTGTGGACAAACTTCCATTGTCAGCATAAAATCCTGTGATTGTTGTCATATAACTCTGAGCTTTGAGATTCGTATACAATCAAATACGTCAAATACTATTGTAAGTTTTTAGTCTTGGCTCATGCAAGTAGAGAAATTCAACAATGTAAACATGGTCAACAACCAAAAGGTGCGGAGCAGCAAACTGGGTAGACAGTAGACATGGAGGAGACTCCACAGAGGCACAAGAGCATGAACAAGTCTTGGTTTTCTTGAATTGTGGAAAAGGAGGAGAAACTGGTGGAGCTGTGGAGTGAACAAGTTTAATTCGGGGTGTATCTCACCCACCAACCAGCACTAATTTTAGAGAGAAATCTTAATTTTTCACAGTTCACCTCTCATTCCCATGGTCTTCTCCCACTAATATTGCCACTAGTAGCGAGTTCAGGCAACAATCCCACACTACAAACCTGTATTATCATTAGATGTGAGAGGGTGTCGGACTTTAGTCTTTTAAAAGTCTTTTCAAAGTCTTCTAGTGTATGGTAAGCATGAGACACAGACAGAAGTCACTTCATTAGTCTTTCCTCCTCTCACTAACCTGATGGCTGTATCTGCTGCAGGAGGTTCCACACAGAAGTCTTCTTCTCCTGCGTGGAGGAGCTGAGGTTCTCCTGGTCCAGCATCTTCAGCAGGACACCCAGCTCATTCACCAACACCTCCATCGCTGCACAGAGAGAGCCAAAGGTCAGGGGGGGGCACTGGTTCAGTGTATCAGCAGAGAGGGCAAAGGTCAGACTGACATGTCTAAACAAGCCAAAGGGGTGTATGTCAAAGTGTCGCTTTCCGCTTTGCTTACCCTGTGTCTCTCTTTCATTTTCTGTCACTTTGCATCACAGTTTGTCAATATCAATCTGCTGGCTTATCACACAGTCTCCCTCCTCTCCTCCTCTCTGCTTTACAAGCCAGACTAAACAACGACAAGACGCTGGAGTGAGAGGAAACACGTTCGCTAATTGCTCACAGAGTAAGCACAGACCATCCTGCACAAAGAGCTAAGAAATCCAGTGCTGTACTTCTGCAGCAGCTCTGAAATGTTGCTGGCTCACAGTTTGATGGGTGCCTAGCCAAATTTCAATCAACTGTCGCTATCAATATTAAGAAGGTAGATTAAATGCGCTGCACAGACTGTAAAGATGTTGGCAGAAATATTCTGACAAGAATAACTGAATCACCACTTTGCAGAGCCCAGAGCGGGCCAAATGTACCAGCAAGCAGAGTCTCATGGCACCTGATCTTTTACAAAGGAGAGATTCAAAGTCCTGAGCTCACAAAAGCACAAGCTGGCAGACAGACAGACAGGCAGGCAGACCTCCTGCAATACACATTCACATTCTTCACAGGGCTCTCCAGGTTCTCTAACACTTTGAGGGCTCATCTTATAGCAATGTATGATCCACATCACATGTTGGTCTGTTCCACTCCCTGTTTTTAGAGCAGAACGAAAATAAATCGTCTCCCTCCCCCAGCTGCTGGACATCCTGAGAACAGGTCCGCAACCTGCTGCTGATGTGTGTATTTGGATTCCTCCTTTATCTGATTGTCTGCCAGACACAAGCAAGAGCCACCAATCAGCCGCCACATCCCTCCCTTCTTTCTGCTAATATCAGAGCTTCTTCTGTATTCCTTCCCTCTGTATTGTTGTACCCTAATTCCTCTGCCTCTATAATCCTAAAAATCCCCCAGCAAAACCTAACAACTGGCTGAGTCACTGCTGGCACACTTGTCTACCTCCCCCTGACTCCCTCCATCTCTTTCTCTCTCATTTGCGCTCCCCCCCGTCCCCATTTTCACAGTCCAGCCACATTAGACCTGCTGAACCGTGCATCTTGCTGGGGTCAGCCACAGGACAGCTGCTGAGCCAGAAAAGTCTTTGTTCGGGGGGCGGTCATATGGCAACAAGAAAACAAACGCAACATACACACACATGGGCATGCACACACGCATAAAAAAACAAACAGGAATGCTTGTATGATGTGTGTTCAGTGGGGTGTGTTATAAGTGAACTTTGGTGTACCTGTCAAGAAGCCAGCCTGTTGTGTGCATGTATCAGTTTGAGGAGCATATTTATGAGTTTAGGCACAATGTTGGACTCTAACTTGCATTACTCTGACACAGCAATCTTGTGTGTAATCATCACTGACAAGTTGAAAGTCTTGATAATCTGTAAGATGTATGTGGTGTTTTGTAAATGGTGCGTGCTCTACTTTTCAGACTGCTCCCACTCCTTAAAGACATACATACTTTCCTGAGGTGGGTCTTCCTATGGGCTTCACAATGCCCTGCCAAGGGTACAGTGGGAGTGTGTTTGCCTGTGTCTGTTCAACCACTTCTTTACTAGTGTGGTTTCCTCCTATTGTAATAAAAAGCACGCTTGCATTTTGAGATGTGGGCATGAGGAATTAATCCATGCGGGGACCTGGAATGTCTCCTCATTAAGATCTGATTCACCCAGGGGAAATAAGGAAGTGGGGGTCAGGGAAGGAGAGGAAACTCATGAGAATGGGATGTTTTGGCCTGGTGAGTGCTGTCCCTCTGCCAGGGGTTCCAGCTGTTTATATTCTGGCTCTAGCACACCACTGGGCTTCCCCTAAACTAGTGGAAGACAGAACTTTATCCACAGTATGACTCATTCACAGCAGAGAGAAACTGAAATTCACACCAGTCAGCATTAAATCCAATATAACGCAGAAATCAAGGCGTTGCTTTCAAGGAGTTGGCGTGAAGTAGGTCAAAACACACACAGTGAAGTAACTCTACTTCACTATTTCACTTGGACCAGCACTCCGAAAAGCTGATTATCCAATTTGACGATTACAGTGTTGCGCCACTTGTGCCAAAATGAGCAAAGAGGAATTACTACGTAGTATTTGGCATGTGAGGCACATAAGACCACCCTTAAATCCCCAGCCTTGCCTTTATAATCAACACCACACTGCTCACACGGGTTCTCTCACTCATCTAAAACAGCACATGATCCTTTAAATCTCTGCTGCAACTCTGTGTGTGTGTGTGTGTGTGTGTGTGTGTGTGTGTGTGAGGGTGTGATGTGCGTCTTTAATGGCTTGGAAAGCCAGTGAAAACAGATACAGAGCCTAGCACCTGAGGGGAGCTATACACAAGCTTGCATAAGAAGATAATTCTACATGAAAACAGATTGGATGTGGTTTGATTAAAGCCAGACCAGGGTGGAATTACAATATTTGCAGCTACAAGAAGGGTAAACCATAACTTTCATCTACATTCTGATTACATTTTAATCCATTACAGAAAACATCATGGAATTTTAGACATCACAAAAGACGGGTGCAAGCAGTGCAGTGCACAGGAATGTGTAGCCATTCAAACATTTACGATCTCACACTCCTCTGACAATTGCTGTTAAACACTGGACACATTCCTCACCTTGTTAATAGTGCAAGACTCTGCAAAGTGTGTTTGTGTGAGGGTGCATGTGTAGTGAAGCGGAGGGAGAAGTTTGTTTAACAGTGCAGACTCAGACCTTTAAAAAAAGGGCTTGCATTAGCAGACCTCCTGTACAATCTGTTTGAGAGAATGGGAGAAAGAGAGGGGGAGGTGGGTGGATGGGGAGTGGGAGTGAGTAATGTCATCGAGTTGAGCACCTGTGCTAACATGTCCAACAAACCCTGATATGCTGAATAATGTGACCTCGATCGGGTGCACAGGTTTTTTTCTTCTCCCTCCTTTTCATGCCAAAGCCTTTCTTCATGCTGAGCTTACTTATCTTGCCTCAGTGACACACACACACACACACACACACACGGCTCCACAGTATGTCGAAAGTGACAAAACTCAAGTCTTTCTGCTGCAACTCTGTTTCACAATATTGTTGCAGGCAGACATTCCAGCTAATCACACAAGAATCTGTATCCCACAAAGAGGCTCTAGTGGCTCAAAAAATTGCAACGTTTCACCATTGAGTCTGGGTGGCAATCTGCTGCTTTCTCAACAATTCAACAACCTTTCTTGGTATTCAAGCAAGCTGGCGTGATTCTTAAGGAACGAAGTAAACATCACCTGATGTCTCGCATTCTCAGTCTCATGTTTACAACACCTTCACAGCCTGTGTGTCGTCGCATTGTTCCGTATATTTACATATCTTTACAAATCCTTGCACCTCCTTTAGCTTCAGATTCCTGCTGTGGTGATATCCTGAAAAGCCACAAAGACTTCCCTTCAACACTTACCCTCGACAGCAGCAGTGGAGGAGAGTCCCACCATCTTCCAAGGTTAAGAAGAAGACAAACTGGTTCATTCATACATAAGCAGATACTGTAGGATATATTCCAGAGTCAAAGCCTCCCTGTGTGCTCTGTCCTGTGAAGTCTTTGTAGTGGAGGTGAGCTACAGTCTGCCTACTGCTGAATTCACACTTCTTTTACCTCTCCCCGTCTTCCCTCTGATCTGTTATCTCGCTGTACCTCCCTCCCACTCTGTCTCCCCTCCTCTCTTTTCTTTTGGGGGGTAGGGAGATTGTGGTGGTGGTGCTCTGTGTATGTGTGTGTGTAGCCCTCCGCTCTAATCCTAGGGATCGTATAGCACCTGGGAAAGGCTTGCTGTGTAAACACACACATGTCGACTAATAGCTAACCCACATTCTTTATTCTACCACATTCCTTCTCTCAATACATTATTAACCTTTAACTAGATGCACATAAAAGCTGCCATCCAGATGATGCCAATGACCCCACTGACATACCAGGTACAATAAAGCATTGTACAGCTACTTCACATTAGAGCATCTGTTACAGGGTTACTTTCTATGTAAGATACCAGTAAAATGTTCCCTTAGTGGAACTGATGCTGCAAGTAGTAGTCTCTATATTTTTGAAGCATTTATTTAGAAATAAAAAGTGAAAGATACAATGGAGACTGAGTAAGGGCTGTGGAGAGGATGTAGAGGCAAGTTGAAACTTCTCAGAGTTACACGTGGATGACTTGTTGCCTTGAGGCAGACTCGTATGCCCCAACACGATATGACACGCCACCTTCAATCACAGGGGCACTAATGCTGTACAAACAAACCCACAAGCACACACAGACAAAGACACAATGATATGCACAGCAATGCAGAAACTCACATGTACAGACAAAACACACTGTGTCTCTCAGGTGTAGGCTGTTACTGTGTATCAGCTGCAGAGTGAAAACGGTGCCAGCTGGCTATATGGGGCTGCCTGGTGCACAAGTCTGCACAACCATCACTGCAAAGTTACTATATTAGATTTATACAGAGCATGTAAAACTAAGATTATGTGTTGTTTTGAATTCTTGTAGGATCCCATGGCTTTCAGGGGAGCTATTTTTTTATGAGGTGGGTTGGGGCTGTTCTTTGAGATATCAGTATGCTGTGTATAAAACAGAAATGAACAATGGTGACTGGGAAGACTGAGCGGGAACAAGAAAGTTATTTCCTGATCTTCGAGTCAAAGTGAGTGCAGTTTATGATACTGCGCCACCAAGCTGCGATGGTGATGGCAAGAATTGCATGCATGCCCGTATTTTTATTAAAGTAATTTGGTGATGAATCACCCGCATGCATGAATCATACATCAGTAATAGCTCAATTTTATGCATGATCCATGATGGTAATGATACATAAAAATAGAAAAGCATGGCAAATATAGTGTATTGTCAATATTTTTAAAGACCATGCCAAATTTCACGTCATACTCTAATTCTAAGGGTAGCTCATGTCTTACTAAGTGGAGTCAAGCTCCCGCCTGGCTCCCCTGTAGTTTGCACTTTTCCTTTTAAAACTCTTTAGTTAAAGGAACACATTTTGGGAGATATGCTTATTAAATTTTAGCCAAGAGCTAGATGTGAAGATGAATACCACTCTTGTGTCTGTATATTAAAAAGGAAGATGGTTGGTTTAGCTTAGTACAAAGACTGGTAGCAGGGGGGGCAGGTAGCCTGGCTCTGTCTAGTGGTAACAAAATGCGCCTATCAGCACTTATCATGCTCACTAATTAACAAATATACTGTATACATCTTTTTTTTTAAAACCAAAGTTGAAAAAGAACAGGCTGTGTTTTTCCCAGAAAGTTACTGCTCCCAGACAAACTAATAGTTCAGCAAATAACCTCCCTTAACCACATGACGTTTTTATGCTTTAAGTTTTGTACAGATTTAAAACAAAACCTTGGCAAGAAAACAAACAAGGGTTTGTGATGAATAATGATGGTCAAAGCCTTATTTTTCATGTTGTCGGAGCACAAGGACAAGAAACATAACTTTGCCTAATAAACAGCCTGACTGGAAAAATGATGTATTTCTTTAATTTAAATTTGAATTTGATTAAAACCACATTAAAGAAAAATAAACAAGACTATGAATATGACAGCTTGTGGTGGTTCAAAGTGTCCAGTATTTGGTGCAACAGATTTACTTGGAACATCAGTTTGGTTGGCGGCAAAAAGTTGTTGAGGTTTAACCCTAGTATCATTTAAACCTTCGAAAATGGGAGCATCTGTAGAAAAACAGACTACAGTAATGGCTGAAGAAACCTATAGAGATCACTGCATAACTAGACAATGCATCACAGACAAGTCATATTGTGTTCATATAAAAGAGTACTTTGAAAACTGTCTTCCAAGGATGTCAGTGTAGAAAAATGGGAAATTAATTGCCTAATAATGCAATAATGTAGACAGGAAGACCTTTGTCATCTAATTTGATAAACAGCCCAGATAGCTTCAGAGAGGCATTTCTAGTGTTTCCCAACTTTTTCCAAAATCCCCCTTAGCTGTGATAAATGCCACAGACACACCCTGGTTAATAGACTTGGTTAAGACCTTACAAACCACTCCTAACTGTGACTAAATGTGACCTCTGACCTCCCCAGTAAAGTTGTGAACTCACACAAGACCACGGATGCCAGTGGAGGAATGGGAAAGCACACCGTGCAGTAAAAACATCTCTATTCTTCACATTACAGCTGGGTACAACAGCTCTCAAGTGTCTGAGTAAAAGTGATGTATTCAGGTAATTGCTAAAACATGACGCACTGTTAATCTAGAAAATGCATCATCCACATTAACAATGATTACCACTGATGCAAAGCATAGTTCAAAGCACAAAGAGGCAACTCCTGCTAGACAAAGCTGCTATGAGAAACTCAAACAACTGTACCATCTGTGACTCCACAAGAGATCAGTATCTAATGAAAACTGCAGGGCTTTTCTTGGAAGTCTCCCCTTTCTTATTGTCTTTGGACATGTTGGATATACAGCCATTTCCCAACCTGATCTGACATGAAAGAGCACTGCAGGTTGAAGACTTTGAGGTGTCCAGACAAACAGTGCGGGAGTCTTACTTTGTCTCATCACTAAGGCCAGCTGAACAATATGACCCAGCAACTTTTGAAAGGAAATGAAAAACATTTTTTTACGCGAGAAAGCACAATCTTATCTCGTGTTGAGTGAGTCACAGGAGAGGTTTTTCAGTCGAGAGACAGCAGGGTTTGACCGTTATCTTTATGTCGTGTGAAGGTTATCAAAATACCATCATCCACTTCAGTCATCAAAGGTGCGCCATGAATGTTTAAAGAAAATAGCTGAATCATAACATTAAGAGGACAGATGAAAAATAGATGTCACATATCTACTTAAAAAAACCCACCAGTTCATCATACCCCATTTGCTCTATATAGATGATCACTGATGTGCATTTACCCGATACACGCGAACAAAGGTGAGGTAAACCAGAGGACCAGATGTGCTCCAGGTTTATAATTACATTAAGAGCTGTGCCAACAATGTCGTCTCTCACCAGCCTGTGCCCTATCATGATGAAATCTCCTCCCACTCTACTCCTCAGGATTCCAGGCATTTCCCAAGTCTGACGGGTTCTCCTCTCCCCAGCACAAAACATGTCTGGGCATTCACAAACTGATATCACCGGAGACCATGACAGGTAAACAGAGACAGTATTGGTTTATTAGGAATATGATTCAAATCAGCGACTGTGACTAAACTGTCTTTTTGCTACTGTTGTGTATTTTATGTGTGTGTATTTACCATTTATTGTAGGATTTGAGGTGGATCAACACAGCCTGATTAGAAAGGCAATTGTGATTAACATTTATGAATGGCGCAGATTTATGAAAGCTGCTATAATCTGTATTTCAATAACAACTGTGGATCAAATGACTTAATGTATGTGAAAAGGCTTATATGTGTGTAGTAATTAACCCACAGAGAATTATCACTCTATAGTTACAATCAGCCTCTTTCAGTCAAAACCCACTTTGTGCTACCTCCTCAGCACCAAACAACCAATAGACAAAAGCCCCTTTTACACTGCCTGTTCAAGCAGGAATGTTGCACTGTTATTCCACCTCACCGTTCTGTATCAAAAGGTACAAACACGAAATGGGGGGACAGACAGTAGTGGTAACAGAGCTGACGTCTGTGTAAAAAATTTGAGGTGGGCGGACAGGACAGGTGTCACATTTTGATGTTGTGGTATGTGTCAAACTCAAAGAAGAAGAACAGAAACAGAAAATGTATGAAAACTGGGGAGAGAATGAGGTCCAGGAGCTCCTTACCCTCCTAGCAGAGGATGAGAGCAACTGCCATACAACAGGGATGGTAAATGATTGTTATTGCCATGTTATGCAATTTCTTTTGTTTAGAGAGCGATGACGATACATATGTTATAAACCAATCACCACGCTAACAACAACTATCACTTGCAGGTAGACAACTGACAACTGGTTTCAAATCTGAGGACCTGTGACAACTTGTTTGTTTCTGCTGTCATTTCCAGCTGTAACTGTGAAATGTATAGTTAAACATGGTGGTACAATTCTGCTGTGCTAATTTTATGTACTGTGTTGCTTTGCTAGCATTTTGATAAACCAAATCTACCGGCATGGAAGCTAAGCAATGTAACATTACTACTACATTGCAGCCATCTAAAACGACCAGCCTAAAAAAATCAAAATGGTTTAAGTGTTCACTATATTTGATATATTTTCACAGCTTTACCTACACACTAACTGATTGGGACATTGGAGACCAGCAACTCCCATGTTTGGCGTGAAGTAAAATGTTTTTGCCAGTGGAGTCTGGTGGGGCTCAGATAACGGCTTCAGTTCGCTGTTGGAAAGGGCTGCCTGAGGGCAAGGCAAAGTGCCTAAAATCTTCTCTATATAGCATATACTCAAACTGATATTGATTCTTTTAGAGTGGCCTTTTTCTTTAGGTGGCTAAAAACGAACCAAAAACGCTGTTTGGTTTTATGTACGTGATGCGAGGTATTTTTTACCTGAAGGTTATTTTAAACAACATTGTGTTTCAGTCTGTACGTCACACTAGAGGCCGACGCTGTTGTGTAACATGTCACACTACTTATTATTACTGGCACTTGGTCTGTTAATGTTGATTTCCTTTATTCATTTGAGGGTCGG